AGAAAAAGAGGCTTGATGGAGAACTTTCGATCCTTTCAACCATTCAAAATGCCCCAGTCACGCAATCTAATGCTTAGATATGTTAAACTGTTTTTTAATTTTTATAATACTAAATGGAAGGACTATTCCATTTTAAATGTGTTTGAGCATTCTATTATGACATAACACTTTTGTTTGGATAGACATCTCAGTAATACATAAATAGGTGATATTATTAGTTTCCTGCATGCTGAAACAAACACAAATTATTTTGAACTTCAAACAAATACACTTGAATCTATTATATATAATATAATAATATAAAAGCAAGTTGTCTATGGGGATTCTTCAGTCATCCAGATCATGGTTGTCCCAAAGGTGCTTTTTCAAGAGGCAACTGGGCTTTCCGGTTTTTCTTTGAAGACATTTCACTTTTCATCCAAGAAACTTCTTAAGCTCTGACTGGATGGTGGGGAATCTATAAATCCTTCCATTCCCCACCATCTAGTCAGAGCTGAAAAAGCTTCTTGAATGAGAAACAAAACCTCTTCAAAGAAAAACCAGAAAGTCCAGTTGCCTTTTGAAAAAGCACCTTTGGTATAAAAGCCAATTTGATGTAGTGGTTGCTTGACTAAAAACCAGGAGTCTGTTCCTTCCTTAAGCAAGATGCTAGATGAGCAACTTTGGGGCCAATCATTCTATTTTAGGCCAGACAACTTCATGGGATTGTCTTTGTGGTGTAAATAGGAGTGGGCATAATGCCACTCAACAATAACCCAACAACGTCTTGGGTTTACAAAATAAATATAATTAATATATTTAGGTTAAACATTCTTCTAAATAGTTTGATTTTGTTGATCAAGATATGTTCAGTAAATCAAAATAATAGAAACTTTAAACACTTAGTGTTTATATTTATCTAACTTTATATCAATATTCTTGGGTCTTCTGACTCTTGGAATTTTCTACCAGAATTCTGAGAATTTTCAGAACTCCCAAACATCTAAAGGACACTATATAGTAAAAGATTGGAGAAGAAAATAGTGTTGCGAATGCAATATAGTAATATTGTTTCTGGAACTTTGTTCCAAAGCTTTTTGGAAGTTTTGTTGAAAAAATAATTTCATTAAAGGGATATTATCTTAAACTATTAAAATTTTCAGGCAGAGATGTATATTGGACATCATGGTGAAAAAATGCTGGAGAGCTTTTGCAAATGGCAACATGAAGAATTTGGTAAAAAAAATGACATACATTTAGAAATGTCAACAAGCTGGAATGAAAATGTGTCACCAGTGGATGCAGCTGTATTAATCACCAGGTACATTGCAATTTTTCTACTTCTATGTTAGTGATTCTAAAGCTCATGCCATGATTTTAGGCACTATGTTGCAGTGAAATCTTGCTACAGACAAAACTGCTGTTAGATTAGGGAGGGATAATTATAGAGGGATGAACACCTAGGACCACTACAGTCCAAAGGCTTTCTGAAAAATAGAACCATGCTTACAGAATGTTAACCTGGGGACTGAATCCCCCTCAAGGGAGAGATAGTTCCATAAAATGCTAGAGTCTTGGCAGCTAACTCAATCAAAAATAATTCTGCCATGAAAAATTCTCACAGTCTTCCCTAACATGATGTATTGAGATGAAAAGGATTACAAGATTTTCAGCAGCTGAATTATTTTAGTTTAGAACTAATATATACTCCAATATCGTACTTTGTTTCTTTGCAATAGGTTTTTTTTTGAGCCAGCAGAAAGACAGGTTATTTTACTGATAAAGAAAAGGTGTACAAGTAAGGTGTTTAAAACTGCTTCTTAAAACATTGATCACTACTTGGCCATGACTTGCAGTAAAGAGCTTTTATTTTCAGTCTCTCCTCTACACCATCTGCCTATATCAAGACCATTGTTGTAATGATTTCCCTTCATCTCAAGGAAATCCATATCTTGTATGTATAAGTAATGGTTGGTTTAATTGGATACTTCTAATTCTTGAGGTCAGATCAGAGCTGAATCTACAAGTAGCTATTCTTGCACACATTCCATTATCAGAACCATCTCTTGGTCATAAGCACTTGCCACATAACACCCGAGATCTAACAAGACATACAAAAAAAATCTGTATAGTGGATAGGGTAATACCTGAAACAGCAGAATAGAAGGGGAAAAAATTGAGAAAAATCACAAAATATAATGACCTGCAAATAGATGTAGACTGATTGTGGCAAAAGAAAACAAAGATAGCACCAATAGTAATAGGTGCCTTAGGTGCAATCCGAAAACATCTGGAGTTACCACTTGAACACCAACAGCATTGACAAAATCACTATCACTCAAATGGAAAAGGCAACTTTCATCCTAAAATAATATTTTTAACACACTCAAACAACATCTGCCTATCTCAAGTTCTTGGGAAGGATGTGATAGGTAGACAGAAATGCCAAATTCAGTCTGAACATCTGGCTGATAAACAATAATAAAAATATGTATGATGCCTGGATAATCATAAATTCAGTCTTAGTCATTGATAAATAATCTAACAGTCTCAAAGACCTGAAGCTTTTACTAGTTAAGCTGAAATGTATTTACACATGCAAGCTTTTTAAATTGTCAGTAAAGCATTATACCTGACCTGATTTTAAGTTAGTAAGACAGATGATACTAGAATGTTTAAGACTAACAATAACAGAGAATGATTTAAAGTATAATTATTATTTTAAATTTTATCTTAAATTTAAGTTACTTAATGATTTATGGCCTGCCCAGAATCCTTGTTAATTGGAACAGGCTATAAATATAACAAATAAATGAGTAAATAAATATTTAAAAGTATTGTTATTAAAATAGAATTTAACCTTAATAAGTAGCTGAGTTTAGTGCAATTGAAATTCATTGAAAAGTTTTCTTTTGCAATTTCCTTGTTATTAAAATAGAATTTAATCTTAATAAGTAGCTGAGTTTAGTGCAATTGAAATTCATTGAAAAGTTTTCTTTTGCAATTTCCTTATGCTGTACTTTGTTATCATATGTTATAGATACCCCCATTCCCCTTTTATGTATTTTTATGTATCTGACTGCCTTTTTACTTATTTCTTTGAAGAGATTCATATATAATTATAGGTTTTATCTTTAGGAGCTGAATATTCAATTTTTGCATTGCCTGAAGGACCTCTTGAAGTACTGTACTTAATAGGTTTAAATCTTTATGAACAAGGTATAATTTATGGTAATGAGTGTAGTTGCCCGTTCTTGCCTGACATACTTTTCTTTCATTAGTTAAGCTTTAGAAAACAATCATAAATCTTTTTAAAGCTTTACTATATTCCCCTCGAATAAAGGTCTGTTAAATCTTTGGTAACCTTGATAAAACAAGGGACGTGGTGACTCAGTGGCTAAGACCCTGAGCTCGTCGATCAGAAAGGTCAAAAGTTCGGCAGTTTGAATCCCTAGCACAGTGTAACAGAGTGAGCTCCCATTACTTGTCCTAGCTTCTGCCAACCTAGTAGTTCGAAGGCATGCAAAAATACAAGTAGAAAAATAAAAACCACCTTTGGTGGGAAGGTAACAGTGTTCTGTGTGTTTAGTCATGCCAGCCACATGACCATGGAGACATCTTTAGACAGCGCTGGCTCTTCGGCTTTGAAACGGAAATGAGCACCGCCCCCTAGAGTCGAGAATGACTAGCACATATGTGCGAGGGGAACCTTTACTTTTAACCTTGATAAAGTACTTGCAAAATAGACCAGCTTCTTTGATACTATAACATATATGAACAGTGTTGTATCAATGCTTCCATTTTCATATATGAGATTATTCCACATGTTAGTTATTTAATTTTCACAAAGAGTACAATAATGTCCAAGTTTGAAGTTAGACTCACAGAATCAGAAAGGATCAGGAAAGGA